CGGCGCTGCAGGGAGAGGCTGGGACGGCTGGCGAGGAGCTCGCCGACCAGAGGCGCGGGCATCTGCGGGGAGGCCGAGGCGCTCAGAGGCCTGGGTGCCCTCTGCCTCCACAGGTCTCCACGGGACCACCTGGGCGCCAGGCCTCACGGCAAGAGCAGCCTGGGCCACGGGGTCCTGCCTGCTGGCTGAAGGGCGCCCAGCGGGAGCTGACCCTGACCGGAGCCTACGGGCGTGTGGCGTGGGCAAGTGGCCAGGGAGCCCAAGTCCTCCACCTGGCCCCCCACCTTGGCCCCCCACCTTGGCCCCCCTCCTTGGCCCCCCCACCTTGGCCCCCCCACCTTGGCCCCCCTCCTTGGCCCCCCACCTTGGCCCCCCCTCCTTGGCCCCCCCACCTTGGCCCCCCCACCTTGGCCCCCCCTCCTTGGCCCCCCTCCTTGGCCCCCCCTCCTTGGCCCCCCTCCTTGGCCCCCCTCCTTGGCCCCCCACCTTGGCCCCCCTCCTTGGCCCCCCACCTTGGCCCCCCCACCTTGGCCCCCCACCTTGGCCCCCCACCTTGGCCCCGGGGAAGAGCTTTGTGCCACTGGCTTGACCTGTGACTTTGGGCCTCCTTGAACCTCAGTTTCTTTTTCTTTATTCATCCCTCTTTCCGTCTTTTCTCCTGGTTTGGGGATTGAGCCTTGGGTCTGGGCTCTGCCCCCGGCTGAGCCTCATTTTCTTGATCCACAAGGTGGGTCCAGCCACAGTACCAGAGCCCCACCTTGAGCCCCGGGCCCCCTCCTCTGTCCCTTGCTCAGCAGGCCTGGCGTGGGGGCGAGCCCCGGGACCCGAGGCTGGTGGGTGGAGGCTGCAGCCCAGCCGGGCAGCCGTCCTCAGGTGGTCCTTCCCTGGGTGATGGGCAGTGGAGGGCTGCCCTTGTCCTCCGGAGGCCAGGTGGTCAGCCTGAGGCCCTCGGGCCCAGCCTCCTCTCAGCCTGTTCTCGTTGCAGCCCTGGGGACCGAGGCTCGGGCCAGCCACGCAGCCCGCAGCTGGAGGGTCAGCTGGAGGAGCTACAGTGAGCAGGACATTGCACCAAAAGGGGGGGACCCTGCTCCTCAGGTGGCGTCCCCTGCTCCTGGGTCCCCCTGCCCCTGGCCTTATGGTCCTAGACCTTTGGCTCCCCGCACCGTCCCTGGTTCTGCCTGTTGGAGCCGTGATGGTTCCGCTCCCGCCTTCTGACCCTGGTAGCCCTCGGGCAAAGTAGGTGCTTAACGAATCGGTGCTGCCTGTGGGCCCTGTGAGGTCGGCGGGCGCCTGACCCAGAGCAGAGGCCAGGACCACATGTGAAGGATCGGGCAGCTGGGCCCAGCCTTGGGGGCCTCGGCTCTGCACGGCGCTCAGCTCTGCCGTGTGGGCTGGGCTCCGTGGGCAACGGCTGGCCGGGGGCACGCCCGTGACCCAGTAGGACTCTAAGGTCAGTCCAGGTTGGGCCACGCTGGTCTGCCCGCCCTTGACTTGCGAGGTCCTGGCAGTGGCCTCCGGGGAGGCCAGTCTGTGAGACGGGGACAGCGGGGCTTATTGTGCAGAGGCTGAGAATTGAAGCCACTGATCCCCTCCCCTGAGGACTTAAGGTGTGGCCACCAGGGCTCATCAGAATCCTCCTGACCCCTTGAGAGGAGTGACCGGGAGAGCACCGCACTCCCCGGCGTGCATCCCTCCATCACTTGGCTGTTCCGTCCCCCTCCCCTGGGAGACGGCTGCCTGCTGGAAGGGATATGGGGGTGGGGGCCTCCTCCCGCTTCACTTCCTGCAGGTGGCTCCCCGGGGGCTGGACATCCTTGGAGCTTCTGAGGGGAAAGGAAGGACAGGCTGACAAGCCAGACACCTGCAGCCATGGCTCCCCTGGGGACCATGTCCTGGACCGGAGGCTGCCTCGTGGCGCCTGGGCCCAGCCGGACCTGCAGCTGTGTTTTCTTTAGCCTGCGTTCATTTACGTTCTATTTAAATTGCTAACATTGGAAATAAGATTCTGGGTAAGATCCAGATTTCTGCTGTTTATAAGAGAAAAATCAGCTCTGCCCACACCGGGCCTCCCGTCCCAGATGACAACTCACGCTGGAACCGAGAGATGGGGACCCCTTAATTGAACGCAGCTTGTCGGTCTGTTCTCCTAAACTTCTTCGTTTATTTAGGGACAGCGTTGTCCCCTCGGGTCCTTAGGTTCTCCCCCGTCGTGATTCTAAAACAGATCCTCTATTCCCTCACGTGGGGCTGCCCTGGGCCGGGGCCTTTAGCTTAGTCCAGCGGGAAGGTGGCCAGAGGTGGGCTGTGAGCTGGCCGTGGCCATGGTGCCTGGTGAAGGGCCACCGTGGAACTTCGCACCTTCTTTCCTATTGTCCGGTTACAAATTGCTACAAACTCAGCGGCTTGAAGCAACAGAAATGTGTCCAACGCTTCTCGGGGTCACCGTTCCAGACTGGGCCTCGCGCGGCTAACGGAAGGCGGCGGCAGGTTCTTCTGGGGGCTGCAGGAGACCTCTTCCCACTTCTAGAAGCCCCTTCCCTCTCCTAATCCACGAGGGGAGACCTTCCAACCCCACTGCAGCCCTCCTCTCCCTCTTAAGGGCCACCGGGCCACCTGGGCAAGATCCCTCACCCAGCCACGTCCCCACAGTCCCTTTTGTCACGGGCGGTGACATTTGTGGTGCAGGTGTCCTTGGGGCAGGAGTCGAGCTTTCTTCTGGGGTGGCCTTGACCTGGGGTGGCCGGTAGGAGGACGGACTCTGCATCTGTCCGCCGTTCCTTGAGCACCTACTCTGTGCCGGGAGCTGAGCGCTAGGAATAGCGCAGTAGGAACACAGACAGGCCCGGACCCTGGGGAGGAGACAGACTCGCCACGTCCATCCGGCCCACCCCACAACCCCCCCGTTGGCCCTGCGTGTGCCTGAAGCCACTTCCTGTGAGTAGGAGGAGTGTAGACCCCGGGTCCTGGGTTCCGCGGGCGGCTCGGCCAGCACAGAGGTGGGAGTGACCTCTGTGCCTCTGGTTCTCTCTCACCCAGGCTGAGGGAGGGCCATCGAGGCCACTGTGAGAGTGACCGGAAGGTCAAGCTGCACCGAAGGGGTTTAACCAGGACAGCCCTCGGCACAGAGATCCCGCCGCAGCATGGCCTGGATCAGCCCGTCCTCGCAGGTCCCCATCCAGGTCTGGACACGCTGGCTCTGCCCTCCTGGAGCCCAGCTCTTTGGTCTCCCTGGGCCTGAGCCTGGGTGGGAACAGGGTCTTCCACGGCGTCCCCGGGAGCCCTGACTTGGGTGTGGATGCAGGAGCTGCCGCTGACCCCCACCAGTCCCAGGGCAGGAGCTGGACTGTCCATTGCTGGGGGAAGAAGGCTCTTGGTGTTAGAGTGAAGGTGCCCGGGAGAGCCGACAGCACGGCCCTGATCTTGCGTGGTTTGCTAGTGACCCGTCAGGCTGCGCTGACGGAGGTGACGCTTGCTGCCTGGTCAGGTCCTGCTTCAGCATGGCTCTGTCTCCCCCCACCCTGGGCGCCCGGGGATCCAGGCTCTGTCCCCCCCCACCCTGGGCGCCCGGGGATCCAGGCTCTGTACCCCCCACCCTGGGCGCCCGGGGATCCAGGCTCTGTCCCCCCTGGGGCACCTGAGGATCCAGGCTCTGTCCCCCCTGGGGCACCTGGGGATCCAGGCTCTGCTCCCCCTGGGGCACCTGGGGATCCAGGCTCTGCTCCCCCTGGGGCACCTGGGGATCCAGGCTCTGCTCCCCCTGGGGCACCTGGGGATCCAGGCTCTGCTCCCCCTGGGGCACCTGGGGATCCAGGCTCTGCTCGCCCTGGGGCACCTGGGGATCCAGGCTCTGCTCGCCCTGGGCAGCTGGGGATCCAGGCTCTGCTCCCCCTGGGGCAGCTGGGGATCCAGGCTCTGCTCCCCTGGGGCACCTGGGGATCCAGGCTCTGCTCCCCTGGGGCACCTGGGGATCCAGGCTCTGCTCCCCCTGGGGCACCTGGGGATCCAGGCTCTGCTCCCCCTGGGGCACCTGGGGATCCAGGCTCTGCTCCCCCTGGGGCACCTGGGGATCCAGGCTCTGCTCCCCCTGGGGCACCTGGGGATCCAGGCTCTGCTCCCCCTGGGGCACCTGGGGATCCAGGCTCTGCTCCCCCTGGGGCACCTGGGGATCCAGGCTCTGCTCCCCCTGGGGCACCTGGGGATCCAGGCTCTGCTCCCCCTGGGGCACCTGGGGATCCAGGCTCTGCTCCCCCTGGGGCACCTGGGGATCCAGGCTCTGCTCCCCCTGGGGCACCTGGGGATCCAGGCTCTGCTCCCCCTGGGGCACCTGGGGATCCAGGCTCTGCTCCCCCTGGGGCACCTGGGGATCCAGGCTCTGCTCCCCCTGGGGCACCTGGGGATCCAGGCTCTGCTCCCCCTGGGGCACCTGGGGATCCAGGCTCTGCTCCCCCTGGGGCACCTGGGGATCCAGGCTCTGCTCCCCCTGGGGCACCTGGGGATCCAGGCTCTGCTCCCCCTGGGGCACCTGGGGATCCAGGCTCTGCTCCCCCTGGGGCACCTGGGGATCCAGGCTCTGCTCCCCCTGGGGCACCTGGGGATCCAGGCTCTGCTCCCCCTGGGGCACCTGGGGATCCAGGCTCTGCTCCCCCTGGGGCACCTGGGGATCCAGGCTCTGCTCCCCCTGGGGCACCTGGGGATCCAGGCTCTGCTCCCCCTGGGGCACCTGGGGATCCAGGCTCTGCTCCCCCTGGGGCACCTGGGGATCCAGGCTCTGCTCCCCCTGGGGCACCTGGGGATCCAGGCTCTGCTCCCCCTGGGGCACCTGGGGATCCAGGCTCTGCTCCCCCTGGGGCACCTGAGGATCCAGGCTCTGCTCCCCCTGGGGCACCTGGGGATCCAGGCTCTGCTCCCCCTGGGGCACCTGGGGATCCAGGCTCTGCTCCCCCTGGGGCACCTGGGGATCCAGGCTCTGCTCCCCCTGGGGCACCTGGGGATCCAGGCTCTGTCCCCCCCACCCTGGGCTCCCGGGGATCCAGGCTCTGCTCCCCCCCACCCCCACGGTGCTCAGGATCCAGGCAGCTGTGTGGACAGAGGGTGGAGAATTTTGCAGACATGTCTGTGGACCAGGCCTGTCCCCTGCACATGTCACTTGGCCCGTATTCTCCTGAGCAGACTCATCCGAGGGCTCTGCCTCGTGCAGGGGCCTGGGGAGGGTAGCTTAGCCGCGTGTCCTGAAGGACAAGGGGATTGGGTGGGGGAGTGGACACAGCCCCCCCAGGTTGCCCATGGGTCCTCCGCACACACAGTGGGTCTGCTGCACGCCCAGCTCTGCTAGGTGCAGGGGGTGCGCAGGTGACGCGGTCTCTGTCCCTGTCTCCCAGGGGTCTCAAGCTCGTGGGCATTCGGCGTGGTGCACGTGCATGTTCACATCCCGCTGCCGCTGCTAAGTGGCGGGGTGAACTCCGGGTAAAATGGGGAGCCCCCAGGCCTCCCTTCGCTGACTTGGAAGTGGGGAGGGTTTTAGCTGCAGGAGCAGGTGCCTGGTTCACGGTCAGGGGAGGAGGCCCAACGGCAGGGAGCCTGGGGTCCTGGGCGGTCAGGGGAGGGGGCCCAACGGCAGGGAGCCTGGGGTCCTGGGCGGTCAGGGGAGGGGGCCCAACGGCAGGGAGCCTGGGGTCCTGGGCGGTCAGGGGAGGGGGCCCAACGGCAGGGAGCCTGGGGTCCTGGGCTGTCCCCCAGCCCCAAGTCTGGGACCTCCTTCCAGGTGGCTCTGCCTGAGGAAGAGGAGCGGGAGGACAGGATCTTCTGCCCTCTGAGGGGACAAGCACTGACAACCCTGGAGTGACTTGTCCCTCTTGGTGCCTGGCCAGCACCTCCCCTGCTCCCTCTGACCCCTCTTCCTCGGCCCCCCACAGGTCTCCCTGCAGCTGAATGGCCTGGTTCCCACCTGGCGTCCTCCCCCATCCCGGCCTCCCCTCCCGGCCGCGGCCGTCTCGGTTTTCCGCAGACTCACGGGTGGGGCCGGCTCCCTCTCGCCCGCCAAGTGCTCTCTGGGATGGGGCGGAAGGAAGGGAGGCCACTGGACGAGGCTCTGCTGAGCAGAGTGGCCCCTGGGGAGTTGGAACAGATGGCGGAGGCTCCCGGGGGTCACTTGGAAGGAAGTGGTCGGTTCCCTGGGGGAGAAGCCGGTATCGGGTTTCCCCTTCCAAAATGGAGGGGACAGTCCCTTCCTCCAAGCCCTGTCCTGGGGGTTGGAGAAGCCACGTGATCCTGCTAGAGCCCCGAGGTTCTGCCCAGCGAGGGTGGAAGGCCCAGCTGGCCTGGTGGGGAAGGCCTCTGTCCCCAGGCCCAGACCCTAGGAGCACCTGTGACCAAGGAGGTTCAAGTTCACGTTCCAGTGGTGAGAACGAGGCTGTCACGTCCCCACGGGCCTCGGTTCTTCTGGCTGGAGAAGGGGGACACGCGCTGCTCTGTGAGGTGACCACAGCCGAGCAGGAGCCCCCGCCGCCCCCCGCCCACACGCAGGTCTCCACCAGTTTTCCGGCCGCGTCTCTCTCGCTGACTCCCCCGAAGCACAGGGGACGTCTCTCTCCTGATTGTCTCCCACCAGGACGTCCTAACTCCGCAGGGACGTCTCGGCGCCCACTCAGGGCCGCACACTCCCCGGGAGTCGGGGAGACGGGTGCAGCCCAGAGCCCTCAGCCCAGCTGCCCCTGGACTCCCCTGGGCAGGTGGGGGGCCTTCCTGGGTCCAGGGGAGGGGTGTCCCCAGGCCTAGTTGGCACTGGGGATGAGGCCGGGGGGCACTGCCACAGAGCCACACCCCCATTTGAAGGTGGGTTCTCGCCGAGTGGCCCAGGCTGGCCTCAAACTTGGGGTCCTCCTGCCTCAGCCTCCGAGGAGCAGTGGTCACGGCCACCCCGGCCAGCTACAGCCTTCCCTCCTTGAGGCCAGCGAGAGGTCTGTGGAAACGAGAGCAGGACGGCTCTGCCCCAAGGTGGCCGTGACTGTTGGCACACACTGGACCCTCAAGGGGTCACCCCGTAAGTATCCCGTGTCGACTGAAAACTTCCTGAATGAAGAAAACTTGCGGACAGCGGAGAGCTCCGTCCCCTCCCTCCCCAGCCGCTGACACCCGCGTTGACGTGGGACGTTTGTCAGGTCCTCGTCCTCGATGATGGGACCCAACGTCGCCTTGCGAGTCACGTGCCTTGTGTGTTCCGTGGGCTGTCCCAGGGCGTGGTGGCATGCCTCTGCCATCTCAGTGTCACAGAGGGGCCTTCACGGCCCTCGGTGTCCTCCGTGTGCCCGTTTGTCCCTGTCCCCAGCAGCCACCCCTCTCTTCACTCTGGACTCTTCCTTCCCAGCAGGGTGACGTCGGGTGGCCTCGGGAAGCAGTGGCCCTCGCAGCTCCTGGCTTCACTTGGTCAAGATTCGAGGGTCCCGTGGCTGCCCACGGCCCGATGGCGCATTTCCTCTTGGTGCTGAGTGAGTCTGTCGCGTGGCTCTGCCACGGTCTCTGCCAGCCACGGAGGGGACCCATGGAGGGACGGGCGTGGGCCTCCCGTGACTGGGCACACGGCCTGAGCACCACAGGGCCACAGCAGCGCACCTCGCAGACGGGGAGGCCGAGGCCCAGGTCAGGGGAGCAGGGGAGGCCCAGGGCCACCCCTGTGTGCGGAGACTCCTTGGCCTTTGAGCCCCACGGGTCGGGGCCTCTGGTCCAGGGACACGGTTGGCACTGTCCTCTGCTGGGGCTGCGTCGTACAGGGGACATGTTCCCGTCCCCCTCCCCCCTCTAAGGTGTCACCCAGGGTGCAGGGCGAGGCAGGCTCCGCTTCCCCGTCTGTGAGCTGGACACGGTGGACAGGGCCAGGCAGCCTTTCTCTGCCCACTGCTCAGCTGCTGGGTGCGAGTTCAGAGCTGGGGGCCAGGGGGGCTTCCTGGAGCCGGCACCCACAGGCCCCTCCCACCTGCTCCCCAGGCACCCCCCCCTGCTCCCCAGGCCCCTCCCCCCCGCCTGCTCCCCAGACCCCTCCCACCTGCTCCCCAGGCACCCCCCCCCCGCCTGCTCCCCAGGGGCAGGGGCCCTCCGGTTGGTCGCTGAGGTTGGCTTCAGATCCCCCTCCTCAGCCTCCTGAGCCGCTGGGGTGACAGGCGCGCACCACGGTGCCCTGCCCAAGCATATCTTTTTCTGACACGGGTCGAGTGGCCTAGAAGTCCCGGAATGTTGCAGATTTCACTTCAGAATTCGGGGACCCCCGCATAGATCTTACCAGCTGAGTGTCCCTGGTCCCAAGGCTCAGATGTCTGGAACTGGACACTTTTGTCTCAGTGTTGGATTTTGGGGTGCTCTGGGTTTTCGGATCAGGTCTCACCCCTGAGGTACGTCCTGCGTCAGCCTCAGGGATCCTCAGCAGCCCCGTGTCTGTGGCTGAAAGGTCAATGCGCCTGGGGCCAGCGTGAGGGACAAGTGACTTATTGTGGAACGCTTCCACCCTTGTCCCTCAAGTCACTGCCCCAGGAAAGAGCCTGTGTCCCTCAGGGTGCTTTGTCCAGGGGTGGCCGGCTGGACAAGTGACATGTGTCCACCCCACTGTGCCCTCAACTCCCTCCAGTTACCAGGAGGAAAGGGTGTTGGAGGCTGGTGGCCAGGAGCCGCGAGGGCCTTAACCCGCCTGGCTCACACTGCTCCCCGCGTGGCCAGCGCTCCAGGAGTGCCCACTCCGGCACTCGGGCAGCCTCACAGAGGATCACAGGACTTGTCCCAGTGCCCACCCCAGGAGAAGAGCAGCGCCCTGCAGGGTGACGCCCGCCCAGGCCTCCCGCCCGCTCACCTCCGTCCCTTGGGCTCAGGAGCGTGGCCTTCCCCGGTTGCCACCTTCTCTCTTCCAGGATGACATCCTCGCCCTGCTTTATTTTGAAACAGGGTCTTGGTAATTGCTGAGGCTGTCCTCCAACTCACAATCCTCCTGCCTCAGCCTCCTGAGCTGCTGGGATCCCAGGCGTGGCCGCTTGTTGGACTCCAGTGTTGAGATGACGCCGAGTGGCAGCTAATTTTATCACTTTTAAAATTTATTAGGGGGGGAGGAGAAGGAGGAGGAGGGGACAGCAGGAGGAGGAGGAGGGGACAGCAGGAGGAGGAGGGGACAGGAGTTGTGGGTGGGAGAGCCTCCTGGGTCATTGGGGGCCCCAGGCATCACAGTGGCTGCCTGTCCCCCGTGTCCTTCCTCTAGTGTGTCCCTGACCTGGGGGAGGTGACCCGAGTCCCCAGGGGCCTGTGTCCTTCTCTCCCTCTAGAGACCCAGACCTGGGCCTGTGTGGCTGTCCACGGCGGGGATGGCGGGGCCAGGTGGACGCGACAGCCCAGGGGTCTTGGCCGCTGCGCAGCGCTGGAGCTGACGTGGAGGCCAGCCACCGGGTGCCCGCTCTGCCAGGGCTGGGCTGCCCTTCAGCAGCCAGGTGAGGCGGGGGCTGCAGGTGGTGTCGCCTGTCCAGCGCCCAGTGTGCAGTGGCCGGCTCTGGGCATGACGGCAGTCCACCGTGCCCTGTAGCGGTCGCCAAGGCTTCCTTAATGGTACAGCTGCCACCCGCGTCTGCTGGGCAGCCCACGTTGCGGCCCGGCAGCCTGGACCCTGGTCCCAGCCCTGACTGCAGGCCACTGGCCCTGCTGCCCGTCGAGCCCAGCACCCGCTCCGGGCCGGGGGCTCCACCTGGCGAGAGTCCTGCTGGGTGATCACAGCTGCCTCAGGGGCCTGGGGTCAGGGTGTCCTGCGCTTGACCACAGCTGGTGTCCCCAGCTGGCCTCCCCCTGCTCCGCCCGCTCCCTCCTCAGCTCGGGTTCCAGGCGCTCTGGGCAGCGGTGGCCAGCTCCTCACTGCAGCTGACCGGTGGTTCTCAAGACATCTTGGTCCTCCTGGTCTGTGGACAGAACCCAGTGGTCAGGTGAGGGCTCTGGGGGTCAGTGGCAGGGAGAGGACCAGGGTGGGGGTATAGCCATGGGCAGGGACCCACGGTGTACCGACTGGACAGAGTGCTGCTGTCCAGATGCAGAATGGGAGGCTCAGAGAGGCACAGCTCCTTTCCCAGGGTGGCACAGCTGTAGGAGATCTCTGACCCCCGAGGGCAGCTCCCATGTGCCCTCCTCAGCCTCCCAGGGCTCCCTGCTTATCAGTGGCCACTCTAAGGCTGTGGAGCCGGCTTGATGGCGCCTGCGGGGTCCAGTCAGCCCCCAGCCTGGCTCCACTCGGCCCCCCTTGAGGAAGGTGAATGGCCACTTGTGAAAGGTGGGGCCACAGTGACCCTCACCTGGGGGAGTCTGTCCCCAGGGACACTGGGCAGTTTCTGGTACTCACAGCTGGAAGGAGGAGGTGCTGGGCTCTGCTGATGGGGCGCAGGTCACCCCAGATGTAGTGGCGCCCATGCCAGGGGCTCCCGGGCGAGAAGCTTAAGGGGGTCATCTCCAGGGTGAGAGTCCACGCTGACCTGCGTGGGAGGGACGGGCCTCCCCGAGTCTCTGAGGCTGGCCTCAAACTTGAGGCCCTCCCGCGTGGCTGGGCCAGGACAGCGAGCTTGTGCTCAGGCTCCCCCCGCACCCTCCATACCGTCACTGCTGAGCCGGCTGGGGTGGGGCCGGCAGCTGGATGCCCACCTCGCTGTGTGTCTTTGGGTGGCTCACGTCGCCTCTCTGAACCTCCGTTTCCATGTGTGGGACAGAGGCCGGTCGGCCAGGCCGAGCAGGCAGCATGCAAGCAAAGGGATGAGTAGAACCAGCCAGACGTTGCCCTGAGCAGGGGGAGAGGGGGCTGGGATGGGTGACCTGGGAGGGCCTCCTGGGGGAGGGGCAGCGAGTGCAGACGCAGAAGATGAGGACAGGTGACAAGGGAGAGGGCCATGGGCTGGGGGGCTCCCCTTTTGTCTTTGGAGATGAGGAGTCTGGGGTCAAGGGGGTTCCCCCAGACACTCCTAGGGTCCCAGTCTGGGCTCCGAGCTCGTGCAGAGAAGGGCGGGAGGTGGCCCGTCTGTCCCGAGTCCCCTGCTCTGGCTCCCCAGGGTGGGGTGTCAGCCCTCCTCCTCTTACCCTCCATGCAGGGGCCACTCGCCTGGAGCAGGGGACAAGCTGTGACCCTGGGCTCTCCTGGGCGCGGCCTCCCTGGGGCAGGAAGGTGCTGGCCGCCTGCTCGGGCCTCCACGCTGGCCCAGCCTCCGCGCCCCCCTCTTCCTTGTCCGCTGCAGGAGACCTGGAGCCCGCGGGGCCCTAACCTGGAGCCCAGCCGTGCGCAGGGAGTGGCTCCATGTGTCCTGGGGCAGCAGAACAGGACGCGGGAGGTGAGGCCAGGGCCCTGCCCACTGCAGAGCGCACCCAGCTGGGCGCCGTGGGGTCCTCTGCTTCTGTCTCCGGGGAGCAGAGCCTGGGCCGGCTGGGCTCCTGTTGCGGTCCCTCTGTCGGCTGGGCCTGGCCCTGGGCGCTGGCCTGCACCCTGGCCTGAGCCTCCACGACCACAGCAGGCCCTCTGCCCCTGACTTCCCTGGGGCCCTGGAGGCGAGTGGCCAGGCCCGGCTGCCTGTCCAGCAGGAAGATGCCCGTGTCCTTTCCCACTCTCCCTGGACAGTGGGCGGCGGCGCCCTCTGGTGGCCAGCCATGGAAGCTCAGGCCAGGGCTTCCTAGAGGAGGCCTGCTGACTGGCCACCCGCCTACCTGGCCTCCGCCCAGCCCCCTCAGCTCCCCCCTGGAGTGGGCTGAGGACTGCCCCGTCCTGCCTCCCGGGGACCACACGCGGGCACTGACCTTGGTGCGTGCAGGCTGCTGTGGCACCTGCCGTGTCTGGTGGCTCGACTCCAGCTGAGGGCGGGGGGAGGAGCGGAGCTCGGTTCTGGTGCCATTTCGTCCCCAGCTGGCGGAGGGAGGGTCTGGGGAAGGGTCCCCTCTGAGCCTTCCTTTTCTGGGCGAGGGGTCAGATATTTCACAAGGTGGGTTCAGAGCCCCCCTTCTCCCACAGAGCACAGGTGCGTCCTCAGTGCTGCCACCTGCCGCTCTGTCTCCCCGGCTGGTGACCTTGGCCTAGGACTGTCCCTCTGAGCCTCCGTCTTCCCCTGTCCAGCTGGGTAGGGGAACCGCCTTCGCTCAGCGCCTGCAGGAGGTGGGTGTGGGGTGGGCAGAGGGCAGGCCCCAGGTCCACTCAGCCCTCCACCCGCAGCTCCAGGGCCCCAGGGCTTGGTGGGCCAGCCTCCGAGGCCAGGTCTCCACCTGGGCTGCTCACAGCCTGGCCTGGCCGGAGGGGAGCGTGGACATGAGGTGGGAGCCAGTGCGGCTGTCCTTGTCCCAGCCCCTGTGGCCCACATGGAGGGTAAGTGAAGGGTGGCCGGGTCCCACTGGTCTGAGATGGGACAGGGATGGGTCCTGCCGGGACCTCCCAGGACCCCTGCTCGGGGTGGCCATGTGTGTCCCGTTGCCACCTACCTGTCCTGACTGCGCCAGGCCAGGTGCAGCTGGGGGTCTGGTTGGGCCAGCAGAGGTGAGGGACAGGAGGCTGATTGGGGGGCAGCTGCCGGGGGCAGCGGGCAGCGGTGGCTACACCACGGGTCCCTTCCAGGCCCAGGGCGCAGAGACGAGAGAGTGGTGCTGCGAGCCTGCGTCCAGGGGCGGATGGCAGAGGCCCAGGCCCTGCTCCAGGACAGTGGGCAGCCCGTCCAGCCCCTGGGACACCTGACCCTGCAGGCGGCCAACCACAGCCGACGCCTGACTGGGCCACGTGGAGGTGAGGGGCCCTGGGGGCCGAGGCCAGCGAGCGAGGAGCCCTCGGTCTGCAGCGGTGCCCAGGACACAGCACCTGTCCGCAGGCCCCTGCTGCTGGCCCCGAGACCCCTCCCTCCCCCGTTCCTGGGGGGCCTCGCGGCAGCCCCCACCCTGCTCCTCCCCCGGGTCGTCCAGGATGGGCAGCAGCTGGAGGTGGAGATCCGGGACTTGGACGACTCCGT